TCCAAGCAACAGACCTCTCACATACTTGAATATTGATAAATAATTGTTGAATTATTGAAGGAATCAAAGATCTATCCCAGAACTTATTCAGCAACTTTTATGAAGGCAGTTTCACACCATATTGGCACATAGCATTTGTACAGAGAGAATTCCTCTGCTTTAGACCGTTCTACAAGTCTTTTCCACTCTCTCAGACCTGTCTACCTGCTGCTTCACTCGGGCCTCCTTCCCACGTTAGCCTGATCAATGCATAGTTAAACTTACTTCTTAAAGAAATTCTTCGGTGTTCAAGTGGTGTAGGGGGAAGAGTAAATATGTTAATAAATGCAAAGAAAAATGGAGCTGACCTCTCTCCTAGAATATAGGAACTGGCTTAAGGAAGCAGGAGAGCTGATGGCAGTGTTCTGTGGTCTTCTTTGGTCCTCCTCAGTCTCGTGTTAAATCTTGCCAAGGGTAAAAACAGCTGAACAACCTGTTTGTAGCCTGGGAAGGTCCCTGTCTGTGAAGCAAAGGCTCACTTCAACATGTAGGTAGTGAGCTACTGTGGCAGGTTCGCTGGCCATGAAGTTAGATCAGGGGTGCAGGGAGAGGTGGGACAGCAGGGTCTAGTCCCGGAGCATGTGCAGTTGGCACGCGCTACTGAGCCTGCCATGTCTCATGTCTTTTTCACAGAAGGCTATGGGGTTCTGTTCATTTCTCCTGACTCATCGCATACTTTCGACGCCACCGACTTTATTATTTCCACCAAACTTTATGTCTATTAACAAATTATCTGTCACTCATTCAGAAAAGAATGTTTCCTGTGCTAAATCACCAACTCTTAAGGTGGATCATTCTAGATTAGGGTAATTAATTGATTACACATGGATGTAAATTAGATCAGCATTTTAACAGCCACAGCATAATGATTATTCTGAAATATCAAAAGTAAATTACAAATGAATAAAATAATAACTTGCTCCAGTTCCAACCTACTATGGTAATAAAGCTTTGCTTTCTTTATTCCCTTATCAGGATAAAACAGTTTTTGCCCCCAGAACTATATAAGATGATCCTGGTTACTGTCCAAACCAAACGAGCCAGTACACTCTCTCATTCCAAGTAGCCTTTCTTATCTGACCTACCTTAATATAATAACTCAACTGTGCACAAACTTTAATGTGTGACAAAGTTCTCTATATAATTATTTCTTATTAAATCATTGTCTAACAAATAAATCACT